TAGACTCGGTTAGCCGCGCGACAATTATGTTGTCCCTGGTCCGAGGGGCACCGTGGTCGCTCCCGTTAACGTAGTAGGAGGAGAGACGGTGTGTCGTCGCAGGGCCAGGTTATCTTCCTTGTCCGGGACAAGTTTCGTCAGAAGTGTGTAATGGCGCGGGAATCTTGCGTTCCAGAGTTGACGTGTGCACTGCGTAGGTGATGACCGGTGTTCGTACGTGTGGCATGGTGTTTACAGTGAACTGTGAGACTCGCATACCCCGCTGGATCGACCAGCCCGACGGTTTTTGGATACGAGCCGTGTAGTGGGCCGCCATGAGGCGCATTAGCGGTAAGCTGAATGCTCGTTCCTTCTTCCTTTTATTTCTCTTGGCCGCTTTCGGCTTTCCTTGTAGCCAAGCGTCCGCCAGCTCGCCGCCTCGACGGACCGTTGCTCGCGTTTCGCGAATTTTCCAGCGTCCCGATCGGGTGTTTTGAAGCCCATAGAACCGTGGGTATTCCCGGGACGTGACTCCGGAGTTTCCCTGCTGGGATGCACCTCGATTCGGTTACTCCTTTTTCAAAGTGTTCGGCGCCCCGTTTCAGCTGGCACGTTGCTGATGCTTCAAGGACCCCTTACTTTCAGCGCTAAGTACGGCCTTCATTGCGTTGGGCTATTTTCATGTATTTGGAGTAATCGTTGTATTATTTTGTTATTGCTTTGGGATTGTTCGCGTGACTATTGGGATCTGGCATTCCACTGTTGCAGAGAATTCTGTGTACCACTGTATGGAATAGTAATGATAATCTTATCAGTCCTTTGTTGCGCGTACCAGCCAGTGCTGGTTAACTGACGTGCAACCGTCGAGTCTCATGCTGCCTTTGAATTTTTTTTGAGTTTTCTACTGTGGGATGAGCTGTCGATTATGCGGGTGAATCGTTGAGTAATGTTGATGGTTGTAACAGTATTATAATTTGTAGGTAATATAGAATTGTTATGCTACGGTAACAATAAATCGATGCAGTGATCGCTCTGCAGTGTGCACGTGAAGTGTATGGTGTTTTGATTGTACTATATATTTCATTTGTCGGAGTAAGTTTGTTTTATTTGAGAGAGACAGATTCAAGGATATCTAGAAGTGATAGGATTATGTAACATTTCACACATCCTTGTGTCGTGTTCGGTGTTCCATTGATAGAAGTCAAGGTAATGTTTAAATACTAAAAATATCAGATTTTATGAGATTACTGTATTTATCACTCATTTAACAATATCATTTTTAGGTAAAAATTCCTTTGCAAGTATGTAAAGATTACATGTACAAGTTAAGTAATAATTACTACATAATACTACACAATTTCACTGTAGAACAGTATAGTATTCCAAACTTTGATCATTATAAATTATTTAATACAGTAATCCACGGAACTAATTGTTCAATGAAGGTATGTTATTTATTACATTCAATGCATCCGTTGAAACGCCATTAGATTTGAATGTAAATTACAACTGCTGCAATGCCAGCAGTGTCCGTAAACAATAAACATTCCCAAGTAGTTACCACGGTTCAATGATCCGATCAATTATCATATTGAATTTTTTGGTTTTCAGTAGTCGAGCAATACCAATGATGTTTTCCAAGAAGTTTCCTTTGTCTCTCCTTTCTTTCTCCTTATTTGTCATCTCCTGGGATAAAATCAAGGACTTCGAGGGAAGAACGATGAATATACATGAACATGATTACTTAATCATCTTTTCTTCTTTTTATGTGCCTTTCATTGTTATGCTCGACCGAGTAGTATCCAACTTCCGTTATTGATTCATTGTGTAGTTCGGACATTAGACGTTTCAACGGAGAATTGAATGATCCAAGGGAAGATGGAGGACGCGCGAGAGAGGGACTAGGAAAAAAAGAGGGATATAAACGTAGGAAGAGAAAGACGCGGGACGAGCGTAAAACCGTCAACTTTATTTACCCTACTTTCCGATTCACGCTATTAATATTTGAAGCCGTGCATATCTTCTTTTCCTTTTAAACGGGGCTCGCGTTTTAACATCTTCATTGGTACTCGTAAAATAAGTGTACCGCGACCTTGGGGCTAACCTTGAGCCCGAGGAACAACAGTGGAATCGATGCGCATTAATTAATCCCACTGTGATTATATTGTTCACGTGTAACGTATATTAATATTTCAATATATGAAGAATATTGAAATAAGATAATATTTCAATATATGAGGAATATTGAAATAAAATAATATTTCAATATATGAAGAATATTGAAATATTGAAATATAACGTATTGAAGTATTGAAGTATTGAACTATTGAACTATTGAAGTATTGAAGTATTAAAATTTTAGATATGAAAAATAATATAGAATATTATTCGCATGTATCTTTTTTATACACGTATAACAAAAAGAAAAACAAGGTATCTCAGGAATGTCAAGAATTGACTGTTGCAATATTTCCGTGGTCTCGTATTTTAGGAGTGTCGCTGTACGGGTCACGGTTCATCAAAGTAGAAAAGAGGTCCGCGCAGAACCAGGCGTCACGTTTATCTTTTTGGGAAGGGTAACGGGGATGTGCCCCTAACAAATATTCCAGGTTTCTTATTGACGTTATAAATACGCAGGCGTGTACACCGGCTCGATGAGACGTGAAAAATTGTATGCTTCAAATGCTTCCGGACAAGGAGGATTTATTTTTTCTCCTAACCTACTTATTATACCCGTCCGCCGATGGCTCGTTTCACCTCTGTCGCGTTTGTTTACACAAGGGCGGACCATTTAAATGGGAACACCCTTGCTGATGTTTATACAGGGTGGTCCGAGCGACTGCGAAGCGTCACGTACATTTCCCGTTCGCGGCCTAGGAAAAATCAAATAGATACGCTATTATAACACTGGAACTACCGAGCAATTAGTATAACTTACATTAAATTTCTTACATCAAGATTTTAGTCGAATCCAGACAATAGAGAGATATAGAAATATATTTTACAATTGTCTGGCAAAAACGTTTTCATAGTTTACCAGAGAAATATATTTTAATTTATTATTGACATTCAATGAAACTCATATAATTCGATAATGATTTTATAGACAATGATAAGATCTCGTTTTTATGACCAACAATTACTAAACCAATTTATTTAATAATTTTCAGAAGATCATCCGTATACTTTGAGTAATTAGAAAAAGGAAAGTAGGTCGTCTCGATGCAACCAGTAGTTCCAGTGCTAAAATGCGACGAAGCCCATTCGAAAAATTATGGAAAACGGGAAGACGTTTAATTCCTTGTGCACGTTGACGTTCAGACATTTTTCCCTTAAGTTTTCTTCCTGCGAAGGATACATCCGGCTGAACTTGATATGGCTTCTTCCTTCTGGTATGCCTTTTCATTCTCACGGTGCTGATGAAGCACTTTAATGATGTGTGAGCAGGGGGTTGGAATGTCCCCCTCGAAACGGCGCGAATTCATAAAGGAAACTTTGGTTACCCGGAAATTCCAGTTGGCGAGTTTTTTTCGGGGCCGAACGTGCCCCGGGAATTTTTCACGTGGGATCTACCGGATGGCTGAGAATCATCTATTCTCCAACTCTTCTATTGGCATTATGTTTAAAAGACGTTCATTCGGCAACACGCAAACTGAATTAGAAGCCAGTGAACATTCTCAACGATTTACTTTGAGTGTTTCTATAGAAAAATTGAAAAAAGATCAACCGGAACGTTTGCTGTTCCATCGAATAAGGTAAAACGCTTAACCGTTTGGCGTTTGAAGGTGTTGGATAATTTGAGCGAATTGTTCAAACTATTTGAAATGAATCAGTAATATTTTTCGTGAAAATTGTACCAGCGAAATTAACGTTACGTGCCATTAGCGGTGCATGTAAGTAGCACAGTTTGAGAAACACCGATCTAATCAGCCTCCAAGTATTTTTCGGATTACCTCTAAACTCTGTTTGTCCAGAAAGCATAGAGAATGACTGGCTCGCGAATGCGTTAAGGGCTCGATAAAGGATCGCAAAAGAGAAGATTGGAGGAGAGGAGGTGGCCGGCGGGAGAGTGGAGGGGAGCGGGACAGTGCAAAGAAAGTAATCATGTGAATTCCTGTCCCATAAAAGTGCTGGTTTACGCGTGTAGAGGCGTTTTATACGGATCAACCGGGTAATTCCGGCACTTTCACTGACAAAGGATACGGACGCGAGAAAAATCGCTGGGAACATCCGGCGAACGACATTGTTCCGGTTGCGGATCGAAGGGTCAAGGAACATTTCAAGGTCGCCGGGGGAACGGTCATCGGCGAGATCCAGTTTTTGCTCAACCCGAATAATATATATCTCTTTGCATACCCAGTAATTGAATGAATTAAGACGGCGTACAATGACTTTCGGGTTCGAGGACGTCCAAGGTCATAGACCAAGAAGAAGAGGAAGAAGGAGGAGAAGTAAAAGTAGAAGACTCGATTAATCAGTTTTACGACCCGCTAATTTGTCGGTGTCGATCACAGGGAAATCTATTATTTAGTACCCTTCGAATGGCGACTCGAAGCTCCGATATCTAGAAAATAGAAAGGTGCGACTGAATAATCGAATGGTTAACGCGACGGGGATCGAGGTATCTTAATCAAATAAGTGTAACGTTCAACACTCGGACGCGTGAATTCAGTTTTCAATCGAGAATCGTCCGACAATCGACTTCTCCATTTGCGCAGGAACTCCGAGAGTGCAGCCGTTGAGATTTCAGTTGACCTGTGATTTTACTCGCACACCGCTGAATCAGTTTCTCAAGTGATTCTGGAATTAATAAAGACTCGAAGATTGGAAAGCCGAGGAAACGATTACACGAGTGAACCATAAAGTTGCAGAGTAATAAGACACAAGATTCTATTCGGAAGAACGAGCCAGAGAAAAAGCGATCGGAAGTTGAATTGTCTCGAAGATTTATCCCGAGATCCTCGCGCGCGTAATTCGAAGCAAAGTGGTGAAACGGTCGGCCGGCAGGTACCCTGAGATATCCAGTGCGCGGCCGCCCCGTGGATCTATTTCTGCGGGCAGTACCTTTTAATATTTCCACGTGGAAAGTTGTTTCACGTGTCGCGCTTTCGGATACCTACGCGTGGAAGCATTACTGGGGGGCGACCTACGCCGTTCTCCGGAAACTCGTCCACCCACCTTCGACCTCGCCTCTTTGCATTCGCCAGCGACGGACCGAGAGCGCGGTGGCCGCCGTTGTCGGCTGTCGGTCGTCGGCTGTCGCCAACCCGAACCTGTGCCGTGGTTTTTCGACAGTGCGCCTTGTCCCCTGGACTATTCCGCTCGGCCGAGCATCAGGAACAGTATCCCCTGACGCGTCCTCCCGGAGGACATCGGTGACCAACGATCGGCGCAGTTCGTTCAGTGGAGAACTTGGAAGAATATTCAGAATAGCGACAGTGAAATTCACACGCTGTGTACTCCTGGAAGTGACCTGCAACCGATTCTCCAGCTTCCGCTAGGAGATCGAAGAACATTCCGAATGTTTCGAACCTCGAAGAATCTGTTACTCGATCGAACAGATTTTTTAGTTCTACCGTCGAACGATCTTAGTATCCTCGAATTCAGCTGAAAAGGAACAAGTCGGGTAGTCGTACCTTCCGATTGTCTTAGACCCAACCGATCAGCAATTACCTAGGAACCGCAACCGTATCGCCAGTAGTGTGTCTCCCCAGTGAAGTCTCGAGAAGATTTCCATTCTAGATGAACGATTGGTAACAGCCGAAAGAGTGAATCGAAGTGTCGATCGTAAGAAGAGGAGGAAAGCGCGGATCGAGGAATGAAAAGTAGCCTAGGAGAGAAGTAATTTTTCGAGGGTAGTCGTCGAACGGTGGAGGAGAGAGTCTCGGTGCGCGCCGGTAGGAGAAGAAACAAGGTGTACCATAAATGGCGATCACTGCTGTCACGAGCTGCCTCGGTCCCCCGCCTTTGCCGCCTGGTAAACGCTTTCTACAGAAGTCCTCGAAGAAATTGTCCTCGACGTACAAGAGCTTTCGGGACCCGGCGGTCGAGGCCTGGCTGCCGCGCGGGATCCTCGAGGCGTCCAGGACCAAGCCCAGCGGCCGGGACGCCGCTAATGGCGCCGGGAACCCGGCGATCCTCGCGATAGGGAACGGCAATTTGTTCCGTAGCCGGTCCGAGGGCAACCTGACCGCGCGCGAAACGAC